TTGTAATTGAATAACATTGTCTGCTGCATTTATTTGGTCAATTTAAACGGTAAGTAACTTTATTATGCCCACGGAGGCGGAGCAGCCGCAGCCGTCTTCGTTGCCCCAAATTTCGCCACCCCTCGGCGGCCCGCAAGTGCCAGAGGACCTCGGCAAAACAGAGCCTGCCCAGGTATATTTAAAAAAGTACCCAACTCGCCTGTACAGTGGGGCAAGGCGCTCATTTTGCAGCTCATGGTTTCAAAACAGAGATTGGCTGGAATATTCATGTAAAAAAGATTCCATCTTCTGCTATGCATGAAGACATTTCGGTCTTAAAAGGGGAGTGATTTGTAAAATATCCATAAAGAAATAGTAAATCTGTTTCCAGGTCTGTTTCATATGGATGTTGAGATGTATCCATAGATATCTTAATGTTGCTCTCAAAGTGCACCAGATTGATGCTTTTAACTTCAATATTTTTAAAAAATCTTCCCGGGGGAGCATGCCCCCGGACCCCCCTAGAGGAGGTGAGGACCCCCCTAGAGGGTGTTAGGTCCACTCCCCACATATAAAAATAGCACTTTACCACTGCACCCTCTCTAATCTCAGATGCACCCTGAGTCATTTTGTTCTAGGTAGGCCTGACAGTGGGGGGGGGGGGGGTGTGTGTGTGTGTGTGTGTGTGTGTGTGTGTGTGTGTGTGTGTGTGTGTGTGTGTGTGTGTGTGTGGTGTGTGTGTGTGTGCAGAACTCACCGACAAGCCGGATGACGTTGAGGGTGGTGTTTGTGAGGATCGGCGCGTTGGCCTTATTAAGGTTGTAGTCAGACCTTTTCTTGCTTCTTATAGTCTCTCTGGACGCACTGATGTGTGCAGGAAGTGGAAGTGAGGGACAGAAGTAGGACAGAGTCATGAGAAGAACAGAGACTGAGTAATACATGTTAACATCACTAATCGTGAGCAGTGAATGGCCAGGTTCAAACACCTTAATACAGGTCAGTCTTCTAATGGATCAATCAGAACCCATTACACAATGCAGGGGCCACAGAGGGACCCTGGTGGTGAAGTCTCTGAACTGTTGATCCTGGAGCACCAGACCCCTGACACTGCCCATCCAGCCATATTAGCCTGCAATCATTATATCGGCCTCCTAATTATTGGATGTGACCATGCGACTCATTCAATAATTAACCATTAGTGATTCCCGCTCCTAAGAATGGGAAATTAGCATTTAAGTGGCTATAGGCTAATGTTAGGTTAATACAGGTACCTAATAGGAAATCAAACGTGGGGTGTTGAGGCAAAAATATCACGCATGTCATATCTTTGAAATAACAAGACTTAACGCGGGGCACAAACTTTACAATTCCATTAATAAGCCTTTGTACATTATATGAAAATACATTATTATTATAAAAGTGCTTCTGTAATGACAAGCTACTGAATAAGTAATGGGATTGTGGGTCAAACTCAGTGTAATACACACACAATAGTAGGTTCTTAATAATTCAGTCCACCACATACATACACATGCAGTCGTTCATAGTTAACTGAAAAAAACAGAACAAGGCAGGTTATAAAATTGAACACTCCATCATGCTGACTTTTAATCTAAGGTGGTAATTGTTTGCTTTGATTATATATCCCTTACTCTAATAACAAAAAGCATAACAACTAAACTTTCCTCAATTCCATTCAAATTTCTGACTCAAGTCAAAATAACTCATGTTGCTCAGTCTGAGGAGGAGCATGATTGCCTTTGATTTTTTTTTTAAAAGCAGAAATGAATCTATCAATGCTCACCAATGACGTAGGCGGAGGTGGGAAGAAAGATAATTTTTCATGGCGATACAAATAGCTTTGTAGCCTACTTAGCAGGGTTAGGGAAAGGGGAGATACAATTATCATGACTAAATGAATAAGAAGTAGTATAATGCTTCACATCCTTTTAGAACCACCTTTAAAAAAGATCATCACGATACTATTTTATTTTGTGATGATAGTTGTTTACTTGCTTTCATAAATTGGAAAAAGCCAGGAAAGTAAAAGATGGATACCTTGATATACCACATAACTCCACATGTCATACCCTGAGCTGTATTTCTGAGTGGCGAAATAACAATGTGACCTCTGACCTCTTGAGGGGGGCATCGCCCGTCTGCTCGTCAACGTAGTCTTGCTTGAGCTCCTCAGGGACATCACTATCGCTGTCGTATTCTTGATACACATTCTTCTCCAGCTCGTCTGACTCGTACTTGAGAGTTGGAAAAGAGAGAAAGATCAGATGTGAGACAATGGGAACTGGGCCAGGGCAAAGAAGACATGATGAGAGTAAAGGGATTCAGAAACAAGTCAAACACCTTTTACTGACATCACCTGTTGTGAAAGACAAGTGTTCAAATAAAAATATGCCATGAGAAACTGTGTCATCAAATAAAAACGGCCTACTTGAAAGCGCTGTAAAAGGGCTGTGATTAAATTATATAAAAGAATAATTGAAAATGAAGTATAACATCCCCATATTTTAGCTGTAATGGGTGCATAACCATGAAATGACTGGCTTGCGGACAAAAAGCAAAAAATGAATTCACATCCCAGAGGAGAGGCTGGTTAAAGCTCCCGTGAAATAAGACAATATTTTCTTTGTCCTTAACTGCATGCTCAGGGAACACAGCACAGCCATATGGGAAGGATTACAAGCTTTAGGGGCAGCCAGGACAGGGCTTCTATAAGCTTCTATACGACATGTTAGATAGTGCAATATTGCTTTTGATGTTGAGCCTGGAAGGAAAATATATCAATATATAGAAAAAGTGGTTGATCTGTCAGGGTATCGGGGCACCTGTGTAATTTCTTCTCCCAATTCCTGAAAATAAATACTGCTTTATTCAACACATACGTCTTGAAAGAAAAACTGATGTTTATATTAGTCACAGGAATAGCACATCCACAGCACCAGGTTCTATTACTGGTTTCCCTTTAGCAATGTTATAGATATCTGGTTGAGCCCTATATTGGTAGAAGCCTTGACAAAGAGTAGGTGTGTGTTCTTCTCTCTTGAAGAAAATGAACTAGTGGGGTAAAAACACATCAGTCTCTAACAAAGAAAGGCAGAGATTCAATTTAGCTAGCTGCTTAGCAAGTAGCTAACCTGTCTAGCTAGCAGCAACCCCTACCATAATGATCTCCAGTTGCTTACCAAAGGCTACCCAAGACTTTCTACTCTTTAATGGGTATTTCATAGAGACACAAGTGCTGGTGTGTGGGATAACAAAGCCAAGAACCCTTCTTTTAAAAACAACTAAAGGGACCTTAAACTAAGCGTAGCTGCTAAGAGTACTTTGCTAATGCACATATTGCAAGATGTTTATTGATTCTAAATGTCCTTTTTATGATCACAAAAACCTGTTGCCCCCCTCCAGATCAAGCTAGGCTTCACTTCTGGGTTTAAAGAGGCATTTGCAGAAAAGCTCATTGCTTAATCGTTCCGTGAATCAGGCTTTCGTAGAAAAAGAATAAGGAGCTCTCTCCCCTCCAACATTTTTGGTTATACATTTGCTTTGATTTGTCATTATTTTCAAAAAAATGACTTACCGTTTATTGAATACTTCTGATGTGCCTATTTGAGTGCTTAAATTATTATAAATAAACTAAACTAAACGCAACACTAAAACAGCGGTATAATTTGCTTAGGAAAAACGTTTAATCCTGAAGGATGAGAAGCTGTATGTTATATCATAGGTTTATTATATGCCCTGCCAATGACACTACCCATAGATTCATTTGTGTTTTAACAGCTTATATTACATGTCAGACATTGAGCTAGCGTGTTATACTAAACATGGCATGTCCTGCACTACTGGCCCCTCACTGTTAATCGAGGTTTGTTACGGCCAGGGTGATGACAGCTTGGGAGCGTCTGTAAACAACTTAATGACCCCCAATGATGATGTCCCAATTAATCAACCCGGCTTTTTATTAACTTGTTTGGTTATGCAGCCCTACAGGTAGCCTTGTTAATTATACATAATAATGTATCCAACTTGGGGAAATTAACAACTTAATTGAATCCTCAGATATGATTTGTTCACATAAGGAATAAGAGCGTGATTTACCTACCACTATAAATACCATTGTGATCCATGTATACCATGTATAACAATGCTTTTGCATACTTAAGAGAGACTGGGCTACACATCATTCCCACTGGTAAAAGTGATTATATATACTAAAGTAGGCACCAATTGGACGCAAGTGTTTGAAGTCTCCTCTTACCCCGTTGGATGCCAGCACGTCCTCTGTCTCCTCCTCTTTTTCAGTAGGCAGCTCAAAGGGGTTTCCCTCCTGAAGAAACTGCTGAAACAGGGACAGCTCGTCCTGAGCCGGGCTGCTGGAGGAAACGGCCTGTCTGCTCGGGGAAACGGACGGAGAACGACACTGGCCCATGAACTTAAACTCCTGGATTGGAGGAGATCGGAAGGAGACAGAATAGAGACAGATGTTTGTTCAGGTTCGGTAAAGTTAGCTGTTGAGGCACATATGAGAAACTAAGGCTTAGATTAATTAACATTTCAGAACTTGCCCTGTTTTATCTAACATAATTACATTACAAATAGTCTACAGTCAAACATTGTGCCTAGTATTAATGGCTGCATTGGCAAATCAGCAATTGTGATGAGGCAGCAAATGCACTTTGGAGAACTGTGAACAACACATCGTGTCAGTTTCCTGGTGCATGTTCTCATTGAAATATCTTGGCCCAAAGGCATAAACAAACTACCTGCTTGCAAAGAATCATGCTTGTTCATGCATGATTTTTCAGTTTGTTCTCTTTCAAGTTATTGACCTTCAACAATGTGCTCTCCTTAGGCTGTAGATGGTTTTAATTTTATTATCAAACTTTCCTGTTATATTTATTAATTGGGGAACGCTCCAAGTTTAAGAACCGAAATAAATTCAAATGAATCATTTGTAGTCAAAAATGGTTGACTGTTACTGGAAAACTTTAGAGATAGAAACAGGCATAAGATGAGGTAAACAACTAAAATGTCGGTCTAAGTTTAACAATTCAGAACAAAATCAACTAAATATGAGGAATATTATATACATTGTATCTGAATTATATTTACAAAAAGCCATTCTTTTTGAAAATGGCCAGATATCTACTACATATCTAATGAGATCATGTATATATATTTGAATAGTAATTGCAGTCTGTTAAAACACTTAGTTAGTGTTAGTGCCCAGCAGGTTTTAAAGGGTTAATAGGTATAATATCTGTTTACCATGCAGTACTGTACACAAACAATATTCTTCTGGCAGTGGGTTGATTATGCTAATTATTTGGCAATCGTGTTTATTGCAAAATGTGCCCAAGCAAGACAGACATGAAGAAAAACAAGAATATGAATGAATTCCATGAATCTTTCTGACATCTAATTATTTCCATTTATCTTTTCTGTATTTTGGTAAAGTGAGTTGAACATGTTGCAGTTTTCTTAGAGTTGGTTGAATCCATGAGGGACTACAATACATGTACAGTATGTAGGTGGTGTCTTTATGCGATGTACTTTAGTCTGATATTGAATGTTTCATATGTATACGCTCAAGAGTATGGGGAATAAAAATATCTAACATACTGTACACTGCATCAGTCCCAACAGCCATATTTTCGTTATCTCTGTTATATAACATGCAGTGGAATATATGTTTATACACAGGCTGACAAAATTACACACACCCCCACACCTACACAGAAATCACTGAGCAGGATCCCCTGTGTTTCATATCCTGATGCAAATTTCACAGTGATGTGGGGGGGCGATGAGTGACAGTGTGGAATAAATGAAAGCTACCGTGCTTCATTTTCTGGCCTCAGCGATGTGATTCTTACTCACATGGAGCTGGGAGATGTTAAAGTTAGACTTGACTGGGCAAAGTTCCCACGTCTCATTTTCCAGAAACATCCTCAGCTCTTCCAGTCGTGCCCTGAGTGGAGGAGAAGAAAGTAAAAGGAGCGGGGATGGGGAATGATAAGAAGAGGCAACAGTTAAAAAGGAGAAGTCGACATGTCCATTACTGACCTCATGCCAGCAGCATGTCCAAGTCTGTTTACATGCAGCCAGAGTCCAGATAAGATATTCTGACATAAAAGAACCTGCAAAGGTCACGGATGCACTGTGAAAAAGGAGAGGTTTTCGTGTGTGTGTGTGCGTGCGTGCGTGCGTGTGTGTGTTTGTGAGCTTTGAGTAGGTGAGTGTAACATGTTTTTATGTTAGCTGTCATCACAGCTCAAGACAGTCACCCTGATGGTCACCAGCTAGGTCAATATGAAGTCTTTTCTATGAGGAAATGTCAGAGCAGTCGTGACTTCAAACACAGCGGTAGCTCATGTCTTAAAGGTGTTTGAAGTACGAGTGAAAGTGAAAGATCAGTAGCAGAGGCAAGGGACAGGGAAGTCTTGTGGAACAGAAATACAGGATTGATATCCTATCATAACCCTACCATAAAATGCATTGACAATTAAAATATATTAAAGGTATGGTTTACCCGAAATCAAAAATTATTCTCCAAACTAAAAACCTCCAAAGAGGGTGTATGAGCCTCTGCCGCGATGATGTGGTTCATGGATATAGCACGGTAGAAAGGAAATAGCCCTAACCTTGTACCAAACAGCTTATATATCATCATGTATGTTTTGGGCACTTTGAGAACCATAAGTTGAGCGCCATTTAGTTCCATTATATTAGCCATAACCCTTTGAAGCTTACAAATAAACCTGTCAATCAATCATGGACAATGAGTTAACAAAAGCAGAAATTACCATTGGCACAGCTCTATGATATTTATTGATAGTAAACCTTGACAATGTTATTCTATCCTTTGAAACCTCGGGCCAAAAACAAACCCACCCTGAGGACGATGAGTGGGCTTCAGCCAGCCGACGTTCACTGATGCACAATCCGTTTGTAAATCGGCTGGAAGATTAACCTAATGTAAAGATGATGCACGCTGGAAGGCTGCTGGCCACCCGTAGTGTGCACACGGACACAGTGGGGGGGGGTAGAATATGTCCTTCTAATGCTGTCTGCCATTCTCCACCTCCTCTTTTTCTTCTTTTGCCTCAACCGCTCCATTTTTCAGTTCAAATGACAATTTCACACTGAGATGACCTCCAACCTTAAAATGACTGTCTCCCTCCTGCGTCACAGGAATGAAGCTAATCAGCATTCAATTATCATATCAATGATTCTTGACATGCAGACACAACTCTAATAAGATCACATGTGACAGTGTGACGCTGTATGTGTCAAAGCATACATATTCAAGTGGCTGGCAGGGGGTTATGTAATCAAGCGGTACATGTGCTTCCAGCTCAGTGAGATCCACCGTCTAATTATACATCTACCACGAAGAGGGTTGCGCTGGGAATAGAACATAATGAAAGCAGCCAGTGGTCGTGATTGTGTGTACAAGTTTCTGTCAAGCAACCTGCTGTTAAAGTGTCATTCAATAATGTCTCAAGAACTTTCTTCCAATTCATGTGGAACGGGGAAAGCACATCAGATTCATCCATGTAATTATTCACACACAACCGACTCTGCCAGCTCACTGACTGAGAAGAATGTGCACTTGTCACATGATGCAGGTGAGGATCCAGAAGCAATGGAGACATCTTACCTGTGATAGTTTTTAAAGTAGTTGACACTCTGGCGTTTGATAGACTCCTGCAGGACCTCTGACTTACTGCTGCAGAACTCCTCCCCCACCTGCATCAACCTGGAGAAAGAGGTTGTTAGATGAAGAACAAATAATGACAGATAATGATGAAGGAAGAGGAGAGAAGAGATAAAACAAAGACATTTTGCAATTAATGATGTACTAGTGAGAAGACCGGGTGTAAGGAGAACAAATGGACTCTTTAATGGCTGCCTACTGATACTGACTATCTATCATACCATCCCATAATGGTTCAGTCACTGCAAGTTAGAGAAAAACAAAGAGAAAAAATTCATAGAAGTTTGCTTGAATACACTTAAAACGATCAATTATTGGAATATCGCCACAAAAGCATGCTGATCAAAGACTAACACATTTAGCCTGCTTGGTCCAGTATTAAATTATACAACTTTTCAAAATCAAAGAGACAACGTATTATTTTCTATAATATAAATGTAATTGACTATACCTAACGAGTCTTGTATTGTGGGGTATTTAGGAAGTAACCAAGCATATATCATCACGCCGAACATATTGGCAGATAAAGTCCTAATATTAAGGTTTTTATTACAAAATGTATTTTAATTTTAATCTATCCCTATATTGTGTCCGCTACTTCATAAGATAATTCCTATATTGTATGTTTTTCTGCAGTCAAAAATGTAAAAAGCTGTGTTTTAAATGCTCTTAAACTGCCCTTTAGCCTCAAAGCCTCTGGAGGAAGTCTGCCATGTGTGTTTGATTGACAGCTGAGCCAGCAGGGGCACAGAGACACGATGTAAACAGACTCGCTCTGGCAACCGGTCAAGGGACAGACAATGTGCTGTTTGCACGGGTATTGAAGAAAGAAAAGGACCACACAAGACTTCATCTAAAATAAACCATAGGAAATATTTGGATATTTGCAGGTAGCTGACTCGTCAAATAGCTATTTTAGATGATGTCCTATACAGTATGTGCACAGATAATAACTTGAACGCAGGCAGTGACTTCATTAAATCAATAGAAGTAAATGTACATTTCTTACATAACCACACATTGTTAGAAAAGTTTAATTCGATGTAACAAATAAATGCCCATGATTTAAGGTTAACTTAAAGACCTTTACTGGAATATGCTGGTTTCTTCTAACAAAACATCAATCTTTATTCCACCCACAAACTGTTCCAGACAATGTACAGGTTCACTCCCACATACAGTCATAATGGGCTGAGCAGCACAGGTCGACCGCAAATCAAGAAATGAGATGAATGCGAGCATACTTCTTATTTGGTGTCCATAAATGCAAAAATAACTGGAGTATCACTCACTACTATAATCAGAGTTAACATAATCAAAGTGTGGCGTGTTAATAGGTTTGGACATACTGGCATTATAAAATCTGTTTTGATGTGCTTGTAAACAAACAATGATAATTATCTAATTGGACGAAGGAGCATGTTGTGTTTGTGTGTAATTAAGTTTGCATAATCTGAGTGAGTCAGTCACAGAGAGGGAGAAAAAAAAGACTGCATGTCAGAGTATAAAAACCTGAAAAAAAAAATGTGATAATAATCGAATAAGACATGACGGCGAAAGGGACAGTGATTGCAAGATAATGATGGCCAATTAGTGGAAACAAGGATGAGCTGATTGCTCTGTTCCTGCGGCGTACCTGCTGATGACATCAAGTACCACGATGAAATCATCGTATTTAAAGTTAGACATGTCTGTCCCCAAGATATAGGCCTTCACTTTCAACTGGACGTCCTGGGGAGGAACATGACAGGGGAAAAGTGATTAGTGAATTATCTTCGGATCAACAATAAAAACATGAACACAATTTTTTTTTAAACATCACATAAAACAGAACAAATACTCCCACAAGTCATGTCAATCATCTGGAGTGAAGACTACAGTATGTGGGCAAAAACAGAGATATTATAGAGAGATGATATAAGATAGAATTTCTTCAAACCTGCCAGATGCGTGTCAGTCCATGCTCCAGCTTCTTCTTGACATAGCTGCGGTCCACCACCGACTCATCAGACTCTGCTGCGTCACCTAGGGGTGTTCAAAAAAAGCACACAGACGGATTAAATAAGGAGACAGATACATTTACCTTTCCCCCTTTTTCCATTTTATCTATCTATTGCTTGACTGTTTCATTCCAGCATGACTCAACGGATTTAATTGACTTTTTAATAGACATTTGCACAATGATATGTGAACAGCATGAATCAGAAGTCCTAGAGGAATAAAGAAATATATTCCTAAATTTGATGAAGAAGCAAATGGAAAAAAAATCCATTTGATAATGTGATTCATCCGGTGCATTCAATGTGATCAGGGGAATGTGGTCACGTTGGTCTGCAGATCTGTGTGGGATTTGTTCTTCATTGTTAGTATGACAATGTAGACAGCCTGAATTTTAACTGAAGACTAGGAGACTTCTTGTAAAGTCTGCATTTCACATCATTTGAGAGTGTAGGTCACAGAGTCCCTGAAGAGAGCGAAGAACTGACAGCTACCGAGAACGCAATATGAAAATACACTGAGACATGTTTTATGTGCTAAGGACCTGGTCACTGTCAGACAGCCGGAACATAAATCAACATCTCCAATGAACACGGTTCCTCTCTGTGTGTTTTAGTGTTTTCTCTTCTCACCGATCTTTGAACACCATGTGTAGCAGACACTGAAGAGGCTACTACAGGGGCGTGGGCCATTTTGAATCGGCTCTGAGAAAATTCAAAAAGTATAAAGGAATGCGGCCCACAAAAGAAACTTGAGCTTGTCTTGTATTGTACTTCTTAAATATATCTGTAAACATATATTACACAGTAGTGTTCATGTGTTAATAAGCCCGCTTTCAGTCACTAAAAGTTGAAAATATGTTCTAACAAATCTAAGTTGATAAGAAAAAAGCCCAATAACTTATTTACATAACAACCTTGAAATATACCCTTCCTATTTCCTCTTATGATATGTCTTTATGTCTTTATTAGGATCCCCATTAGCACTAGCATGAGCATTGGCTATTCTTCCTGGGGTCCTCACACACTCAAAACATACATACAACAAAATTAAAACAAAACAAAACAGCTCATAATTGCATGCAATTTACAGTGCCGTATGAAGTGAAAACTAAAATGGTCATCCAATTATCGCCATCCTAAGGCCAAACAAAAGTAAACACAAATAAGTGTACATAATAACATATGCATACATAGCCGCAGGCACAGTTCAAATTGACTTTATAATACTGAAATATTTTTTTTAGCAACCTTTTGAAATGTACTTGAGAATTTTCCTGAATGATGTGGACCAGTAAAGAGTTCCAGCTGATCATGGCTCTGTACATGACTGTTTTCTGTCCCATATTTGATTTAGATTTGGGTAATAAAAACCTTCCTTCTATTGTATGTCGTGTTTGATAGTTATGTTGTGCATATTGCGCTATAAACCTTTGTGATAATATATCTGGTGAGTGAGTCACTGTAATATTATATTACTGACAACATGTAATAAAATATAAGTTGACCTCTGTCTGACAGTTACCATTTCAGTGTCTCCAGTCATTTTCAGTGACTCTGGTTCTGTAGGAGCACTGCAGTGCACATCATGCTGCCTTATTTTGTGCTACTGTTAGTTTGTTTTAAATCTTTTTTCAGCAGCACTAGACCATATAACCAAACAATAATCAAGCTGCGACAGAACCAAAGCATCCAAAACTTATCTACTGACATCCATAGGCAAATATTTTACAATT